GCGGCAGTGCAGCTGGTGATGTCGACTTAGCAGTCAGAACCGGGCATGTAACGCTAGTAGTACGAGAAGGACGTGGTGCGCGAGGGGGCATGGGGGTCGAGGAGCTCTTGGAGTTCCGCAAATCACTAGCGACCCTATATCTGAAGGTGTGTTTATGAGTTTGGTATTGGTTTTAACCACAACGTAACAATGTGCTTGTTGGTACTGCAGACGCACGTGGCCGTGATGTTGGTGGAACAACCGAATTCTCTTAGTTATCACGTACTATTTGTTATGGCATTCAGGAGGGTTTCAGCCAATCCGGGGCCGAACGGAAAGACCTCCGTGCATCCTTAGTTATCGTATTAAGTCGTACAAACTGTCTTTCTGTCTGTATATTTTGCCATCGGATGGCTCCTACGCAACGCCGCCGCCTAAAAGGGCGACCACGACTTCCAGGAGGCCGAGGCCGGAAAGTGAAGAAGGACCTCGTGTCATCCTTTACAGCAACGCACAAACTAGAGGTCCTAGACGACTTGGCAAGCGGTGGGGACATCAAGCGAACATTCAGTAATTTCTATCCTGGTCTTCCTCAGTCTAAATATGACAGCCGCCGTACATGTATTCATTGTTGGCTCCGGACACGGCCTGAACTCGTACAGTTATGCGGCGAATGTGGCGGTGCCAACAAGAAAAAGTCACGAGCGAAAGGTGAGGGCACGGTGCTGCCAAAAGATAAGGAGCTTTGTTTGGTACGCTGGATAAATTATTTGAGGGAGGAAGGGGTGCCTGTTACTGCTACTATGTTACGCATTCAAGCTCTAGAAGTAGCAGAAAAAGCTATGATCACATCTTTTAATGCGTCTCGACTGCACCATTCAGTCTGTCCAAGATGTCGCTTCGGCTGCAGTGAAGTTTGTAATTCAGCGCGACCCACGTAGTAGAGCAGCACACCATGTACAGCCGGAAATCATATTTCCCAGTAGGCTTCATGGGATTTTACACGATCATGTGACGGCTTTGACGCGAACGGCACGCAACACTTGCTTCATCAGGCGCAACATCTTGCCCAACTTGAATAAACTGGTCACCAGCGATCTTTAGCAGGTTCAGAAGAGGTCGGATGCGAGCTGCAGCATCTTGACCTAGTGTGCTAGGGACCGCATTGAAGCTCAAACATCACCGCAGTAGCTTGAAGCGATGCAGCGTCATGATGCCATCAAGCGAAGTTGTAATACCACCAAAAATTAGATCCTCCGCTTGTAGACCCCAGTAATTTGCGTACTCGCCTTTATCGTTCGTTGCCATGAAGAATAGAATGCCCAGGAAAATCATGAGCTCGTCAAGTGTGAACTGGTTCGCCAGCCCAATGCCGTTCATCACGGCGTACTTGTTAGTTTCATGCAGCACTTGACGCCAAAAGTAAAGCGGTATGTAGGCAAAGAAGCTGGAACTGGCAGAATGGTCAAGCAAATGTTTAAACTCAGGACGCAAGTAGCTTCGTGTCAATCCATCACCGTGCTTGTACAAATACGAAGGCATCTGACCTTCTCCAGACGGAACAAAGCGCATGCTTCTGATTGCTTCAGCTTCAGCGAGGCTGGTTGGAAGTAACTCAGTCGGATCGAAAGCTTCTAGTACTTCTTCTTCTTCGCAATCTGAATCATTTTCCTCAAAGTCGATCTCATAGGTGGGCTCGGGACGTACGAGGATTCTCCAATCCGGGTTCTTTACTCGTGTAAGCACAATGTAGTTTTTGATGTTAACCTGCACCATCCCAACGCTGATATGCTCCACAGCGCTCTGGAACTGACTGTCTAGCCATCGAATCTGGAACAGCGAAGCGCTCTTCCCTTTCTTGACTAGGCGATACACACGACCAATATTGTACGCCGTGCCAATTGGTCTGTAGACCTTTACTTTTATCCATCGATCTTTTTCGGGCGAACCTGCGACTAGTTTGTCCACGTAGACATCCTGCAGCATGATGGGAGGCGTACGTGTAGGAGTTGCTGTCTCAGTTGGTGCTGCTCGCCCTGGTTGTGGAGATTCTAGGCCTGCAGCAATTTGGCCTTGAATCTCGCGACCAGTACTGACTGCCTGCACCGTACCGAATTCCCTTAGCTATGACATTCAGAAATGTGTTCGCACATAGACCAGAAATTGCATGTACTGTCTATCCAAAGTGTTCATCAAAAAACAATATCAATACCGGTATCAATACCAATTAATAGATCTATTGCTGTAGATTAATATCTGCAAGGGCTCGGAACATGTTGTCAAAATCATCGTCCAAGCCACATTCTCCTATCTCCTTGTCTAAATCCCGATGTTAGGACTTCATTCACGATGTCATTTGCATCATCGAGCACTAGGGTACTTTCAGGCTCAATATAATACACAGTCTAACTTGCTTTCTTCGCAAGTTTGTTTTTGGGTAGATAATCAAAATTCACAGCTAAACCAATTTAAAATTATAGTTAGAGCATAAAAAATATTAAAACAGATTGTCAAACCTATTTTGATCTGCATTATATATACGAGCCACCCCCAGCTCACGAGCCTTTTGCTTGACTTCTGCAGCACAAGTAGCCGACCTTTGGGCGAGTTCCGGTGGCTGAATCTGCCCTTGTCGTGTTTTGCAACGCAGAAAAAGTTGATGCCGCTCTTTAAAAAGATTTTGCCAGCACCACTAAGATTGCCAATCTGCATTTAAGATGGGATGTTTTCAGTCCGCCAAACGGCTTGTGACTATTCCGTCCTCACTATCGCTGTGCGGATGGATAGCCCATTATTAGAATGGAATTAGACGGGTCGCAATAACAATTACAAACGAAAAGAGAATAGATGCACGACAGAATTATCACGGCAGAATAAGCGAAACGCAAGTGATTGCAAAAGTTAGGTTCAGCTGTAAATCATCGAAATGACAAACGTTTGTTCTCTGAAGAGTATTTCCATGATCAGACTCTCCGTTCAAAATACATGTTCGTTGGAAATACGAAGCGGCACTCACTTGAAATGACCTTATTATATAAAAGATATAATAGAACGCATTGTATTTTTTATGATTCCTCTCATATATAACTTCCACTTGTAGACTTTAGAGAACTCGACGTAACAAAGCTCACTGGTACCGTAAAAAAAATCGTTCACAATGTAAAAGTTATCAAGTAGGCGAATGTTGTCTGTTACTCACTGTCTTACCCTGGCTCGACGTTCGGGGAGCACTACCTAAAAAGTTAACAAGTGCATCGCAATTATAGCAATAGGCGAGTTAAAATCGAGCACGTGCACTTAATAATAAATCACTTAGCACGTGCCTATTGTCATCTAGGCTAAATTGTTCAAAGTATAAGCTTTCGATACACGGGATTTCCAGATAAGTGCCAAGGCTCCACCAGAGTTTACCAACTATTTCGGAAGAATGATGCTTTTCAGCAATGAGTTGCCAAACCAGCGTTACGCCGTACTCGCTGATGCGCAGGTGCAGGAAGTAGCCGATACAAGCACAAGTTCCTGCCAGCATGCGAGAAAACTATGTGACGCAGTATCTAAACCTTTTATTTTTTAATAAAAAAATAACATTTCAGAGCTCATCCGCAGCGATCTTGCAAATTGCACAGGATGCTTTAACAAGCTTACTGCGCTGCAGATTTGCCGAGCAAAAGCTGATGGCGTGAAGTACAAGTGTACCAGCTTTGAATGCAGATTTAGCCTTTCAAAAATATAGAAGCTGGTCTCGATATACCTTTCTAGTACAGTCTTCAGTACCGACCTTATTTTTAGCCGGAAAAGCAGCCGTGGGTATACGGAAGGGCCACCTATGCTTCGTGAGTCGCTACATGGTTTTAGAAAAGCGGCTCGCGCCCACACAACCACTCCTTATGAAGCCCTTCGGGCTGTTTCAGGAATTATGCCACTTCGCACTATGAGTGCAAATTGTAGAGTGAATAGAAAATGGAGAATCAAACTGACTGCACCTACGCTACCTTAGGCCAAGAGGGAACCACTGGGCCCCTGTCCATTGCTCTGTGTCCAGCGTAGGCAAGTCACAATGCCACGTACAATGCGCACCGCCTGCTCCCTGGGATCTCAGGCTGCAGGCTGCACTGGGTATCCTGAGATATGCCCACACTGCCCCCGAAACCTGTAGCTCTGAGTCATCACTCAAACAGCAAAAGCCGGATTAATCGTCGGAGATAGACGTGTCCTGAAGCCATTCGAGATCGGTGATCGCGTTGCTGTCAATATACACCTCGACCTTGGCGGGAAATGTCAGCGTAGATTGTCCGGAGCGGCTCCCACGAGTTCTCGATGTCTTCAAGACCAACCCACGCGACTTGCACTTCCCACTCGTTGGTGACAGGGTTCTTGCGGTGATCGACAACCGCTCGCACCCCAAGTACTATCCCTTGTTTTGCCACATACTCATTGAGCGCCACTGTCACCTCCAACGATAAATCGCTGTAAGGCTTAACCCTTTCGCGGTGCGAGGGAGCATATTTCGCCCTTTAACACCTTCACCAAAACAAGGTGGAAAATGGGCTTGTAAAAGGGCGCCCTTTTAGCTTTTCCTCCAGCTCTGCCTACCGTGTTTCATAACGACTAATCGCAGCAGTGAATAGAAAGAAGTTGGGGTTAATTTTGGATCGTCTGCTCATCGCACAGTATTTTATTGCTCCAACGACCGTAATAGGCCCTTTCTACGCGGTCGTGCCATGGATCTAGCGGCCTATCGCCTGACAGCCAGTCACCAGAACATACAAAAGGTAATGAGAATGCACCTCTCCGACCTCCCATTTTGCTATAGTGTACTCAAGATTAAAGCGCACTACCTTCACAGACACTGAAGATAAGATGCTAGTGCCGATCGCCTTCCAATTCGAAAGGGGGGGGCTTACGAATCACATGGGCCTACGTGGCCGCCGAATGCAGACCAAGCGGCCGGCCCGTCAACTGCGGCTTCGGCTGGCTAGCTTCAAGCGGACCTACGGAAAGGCGATTAGTGGCTTTCCGCCATGTTTTCTCCGTGGCATGCCATCAAGGCGTTTTCTCCGTGGCATGCCATCAAGGCGTCTTCTCGGAGCGCTGAGGTCACCACCACCACCACCACCCCTCGTTTTGCAGCAAGTCGTAAACCCAGCATGCCGACCTTCTGCTACTCCGTCAAGCTCTCTACTTCTCGGCGGCGATCGCCGCATGCCAGGTTTGTCTGTTTTGGGGATATTTGCATGCCCTTCGTGAGACGGATGACGATAAGTTGGTGGCGATACGCATGGGAGCGCCGCCGGAGGCAGTCAGGTGGCAGACGACGTAGATCAGGGAAACCAAGACTGCAGAGGTGAGGATTCAGTACCCGCTGGCGGCTATATTGCGCGAGATTGCGGGGGATGCCGTCAACCACAGGTGACTCAGGCGAAAAGCGCTTCAAGTGAGTCTCGGATTGTTTGTTCCACAATTGACGTCGGCAAATACTAACCTGTGTGTATAGGTGCTGGTGCTGGGGGCTATGGAGACAATCTGAACCCAGCTGAAGCTGCCGAAGCCGAGGATATCATTTTCGGAAGTATAAGCGCTCACGACGTTCGCCAGCCCGTTCGACGCACGTATGACAATGCCGGTGAGGTGCTACCGTCCGGTGTCACCCTTCGACTTGCTACCGTCGGAGCGCTCGGCGAAGCTATCGGCTTCCTTGACGTTGGAGCTGGTGTTGGCAACGTGCTTGCGCAGGTAGCACTTACAACGAAAGTCAGAACATGCATCGGGATCGAGCTGCGAAGGGACCTCATCTCCCTTGGATGACGTTGCATGCAGCAGCTACGCAAGCAGTACCCACGGCTCAGTAAGGTGCTGCTCAAGCAAGTCGATGTAAGAGATGTTTCGATGTCACGGCATTCTCCCATTTGCGAAGCCCCCATTGTCTTTGCTAACATCTATCTATTTGAAGAAGATGCTAAGCTGATTGTTTCACGAGAGCTAAGCGCAATGCCAGAGGCACGGGTGATAGTTTAAACGTCGCTCTTCTGCCCTAGGCATCGATCTTCGCGCTCGGAGCCGCACTGCAAGAGTTGGAAACTGGATCATCAACTAGAAGTACAATGTAGCTAAGGCTACACCTAATCCCATTTACATATACCGTAAGAAACTTTGAGCCATTCTGCTATCTCATACTTGCTTCTAATCAGAGTCTTTTCGATGTTCATGAGTGCCGCCATCAAGAGAAAATGCAGCTTCGCCACCCAGTCTGCGTGCGGCAGCAGCATCATCACGTCCGAGTGTAGCAGTAGCCCATACATCATGCGAGTCACCACCAGGTCCGTGAGCACCGCCGGGTTCATGAGCGTTGCCGTCACTGACTGTGCCAGTCACACCGCCAAGTCCGCGGGTGCCATCACCAAGTCTGTGATCATCACCACCTCCACGTCTTCGCGCGTCGTCGCTGACAAGTCGGCGAGCGCCACGGCTACCAACTGTATGTGCTGCACCACCAAGCTCGCGCCAACCTTCGCTGTCTGTGCGAGCAGAAGCACTTAGCCTACCACCGACTCCGCTAGGGTCACCAAGGCTACGTGTGCCGCCGACACCGGCTGCACCAGCGGCACCACCAAGTTTGAGCCCCTCGTCTCCAAGTCTGCGCGCGTCGTCACGGCCAAGTCCGCGCTCGTCGTCTATGGCTAGTCCTGGAGCTCCGTCGCCGCCATCAAGTTCGTGTGCACCCCGCCTGTGAGAACGGCACCACTGCCACGTCGGCGGGCTTCACCACCACGTCCACTAGTGCATCCGATCTCGCGAACATCACGACGGGCACCACTAAGTCTGCTAGCCAACACACTTTCAGTCCTATCGTCCAAACGGCTGTCGCCGTCTGGTCCAGGCGCAGCTAGTCCAGTCGAAAGATTGCCACTGCCAAACGCAACCAACCCTGGCGGAGCATTACCGCTAATCCCGAAAACAGCAAGACCCTGTGTATCATCATCTCCTTCGTTGTCAAGTGCGTGAGCGATGGCATCTCCGAGATCTGCCCCGTACGCAATTTGGCGAGCGGTAGCAGACCGCCTTACTGCTTGAGACCTGGGTTCGTGCGCATCCTTCAACTTGGCGAGTTTGGAGTGTCACCTGACATTTCCCTTATCTGTAAACAATGCGTTCGGGTAGTAGAATTGGTAGAACTTATCCCAGCATGTTGATGTCGTCGACGGACACATCCATGGCTTGGCGGGGCGGTCGTGCACAAATCGGCACAAACAGACACCATGCGTGAGGCAATAGTTGGTTACCCCGGTAGGATATCGTCCCTCCCATCAGCAAACAATACAGCGGCGCCGCTTTCTGCTCTTCTCGGCATGAATTTGCCTCGAAGCCACGGAAGTACGTGCAGTTGTCGGGGGCACATCAACTACACTAGGAAAGGGCTAGGAAGAGGGCGTGTCGAGCTGGCCTCCTTCTCCTCCATCACCCAATTCTCCGCTGTACAGCATGCAACCGTCGCTTGGTGCATTCTTCCATTGTCCATTGAGAAACTCACCAACTAACTCCATCACAAACTTTCTATGCGGATCACGCGTTGCTCCGCCTGTACCAAACGTCGCGTAAGATACGCGTTGGAGTGCGCCACATCGAGGAGCGCGAGCGCCAACTTCTTGTGCCAGCGTTTGTACGAATGGCCATCTGCAGTAGAGAATCACCCGCGTATTTGATCAAGGCGATTAACACCTTGCATATTGGTATTTTACTGAGCGACGCACTCTGGAGCTGGAAACGACTGCTTCTCGCTACCAACCATGTGGGTGATAGTTGCAATGTTTGTTGAGTCCGCATTGGACACAAGGTTGACCACGTTACCTTCGCACCATGACGCTGCAAGCATGCTGTGATCGTGCGAGACAGCTTGGCGATAGTCCCCTCGGATACGGTCGTCTTTGTGAAGAATAGTGTGGCCTGACCATAGAGGCCTTTCAGTCGGAGCTCCTGGAGAAGCTGCACGGACATATAATAGTTTTCCATGTTGACAACCCTATTTGCTCCGAATAGCGGTCTTGTTACCTCCAACACATGCTGTCTGATTTTAGATACTTCCCCCGGCTCCTCTCGCAGGTTTTGCGCTTCAACTTGGGGCAGAATTGGCATTAAATAAAGGATGATCGTCTTTTTATGGATCTAATTACGCCTGAATTGACATTCCACCCGCCAAAGTAGGCGAAAAGCACAATAATACTACTTGTATTGATACAACAGTAAAACTACGAAGTACTTCTATTACGGTATTTTTTCAATAGCACTTGCTGTGATATATTAGTACTGTACTTTTTGGTATACTACCTTACTCTCATCCCGCTTTTTACATTATGTTCTGTAGAAGCGAGTCCTTTATATTGAAAAAGCGAGGCGACCTCAATATGACGAAAACAAGTTTTGCTTAAATTGTAATCAAACGGAGGGCGAAGAAATACTAACCCATGCGTAGCTTAATATTGATCTCAAGCACCGGCAAGTTGCTCTACCCATCTGCAGCGTGTAGTTCACCAAGAATAATAAATCTTCCATAGGCAATTGCATAGGGTATCATCAAATTCAACGTACAACCATTGTGTTAAAGTATGAAGCACTTCCAAAGAACTGTGCTAGGGGCCCTACAAAAGACTTTGTCATCCCGCAACATTAAAATTCAAGCAACATAAAATAGAGGTTGCAACAAAGTGTAAAGACTCCATCCATGAATACGGTTATATTGGTTTAGCCAAAGTTTGTTTTTATGTTACCTACACGACTTTCGACATCTCTGAAATTCTACCTGGGTGGGTGATATTTCAGGGGGGAGGAAAAATTCGAAAATGTCATTTTACAGAATTCCCGAAAATATATGCGATCCTGACACAAATTTCAAAATCATATAAATATATTGAACTAGTATTGTAAAGCGAATAAGAACTCTGAAATGTTAACCCCTTCAACCCGAAGGATTTTGAGGGTGACGCGACCTGTATATACAGCATACTATAGTATTGAAAATTGAATACCTCAAGGGTTGGGCGAGATGGTGAATGAATAGGTTAGCGGCGTAGATGCTGCGAATATCGCGCGTTGTGCTGTATATACACCGCGAATGCGCTGTATAAGGACTGGCATTGCACTAGGATCTTGCATATCACCTCGTAGCACGTGTACAGAACCAGATCGATCCCCCTTGGAATCTAGAGAGTTTTGTCAAAATTTAACAATAAAGGTGATCCAGAAAATGCAGATCAGTTGCATACTGAGATTAAGTATGCTAAGTTGAGGTACGGACGCAATCACGTGAGGTGTCTTCATCGCCAACATACAAACTAAAGGTCATATGGATAGAGACGCTTCTAGAGCCCACGCAATCATCGCATTAGAATCTTGACTTGTTATATAAAGAACGCTCACTCTCACTTTTCACTCTGAATCTTTCTCTTCATCGGATGACGTTCGGCGGCGCTTGGCGGGCGACTTGGCGGGCGACTTGCGCAGACGTATTTTACCCTGCATGTTGTCAGGAATGTCCGTTCCGTTCTTGGACAAGTTGTGCCAGATATCCCAGCAACTTCGCAGCTCTCCGTCCATGGTATGCTTCGGTTTCATGCACAGGTACGCGGGAAGCGAGGTGAAGCAGACATCGCAGAAGTACGTAGTAGTCCCGCCGCGTTTCCCGTCCATCCGCAGCATGGAGCACACTTTGCAGTTGCGTTGTACACGTTTTAGCTGCCCTGAGTGGTTCCTCCACGCGTCAATTTGCTTTGCCGAATGAACGACACACTCTGCCAACACCCCAGCATCAGAAGAAGTCGGCACTTGACTGGAACGCGTACTGCAGTCTGCAGGAGGAGATTGATCTACAATAGCAGTATATACATGTTAGTCAAGACTGTATATACAACAAATGACTTATCACACCTACCAGCGCCGAAGGTGTTGCCTTCATACATGTCTTCATCTTTCATGTTGATGAGGCCTAGATGCAACTTGCGGATATATTGGACATGGGTCAAAGGACGTGTTCCGTTTGCTGCGTGAAAAGCCCGGTGTACAATGTAGCCATTGACAATAGCTAGATCCACGAGTCCCAAAAACAGCGACTTGTAGTACTTACGGAAAGTAACTGCACGCTGCAAGGAATACCGTTGTAGGCGGAGTGATCATGCACATCAACTCCGCCCATGAACTTGTGGTAGTCCTTCACTGCTTTAGGACAAGCCACTTCATGTTTCTCTCCAGTCTTCTCCCTCCTCGCAACCCTCTCAAGCGCAAGATCACTCCCGGTACACAAGGAAAAAACTGGTTTGCTGTCCCACCACTTGATAGCTGCCATTTGCTTCACTTGTTTGGATCGAACGGTAGTGAAAGTTCCCCGCATGATATGCTTGGGTCGTTTCTTCGGGTCCTTCTTCTTGTGTCTGATACTTGCAGCGAATCCAATTCGGTTTGTCATGATCGTGCCAACGATATAGAACCCCATCAATAGTAACTGGACAGCTAGCACCACACTGGTGTAGAAGCGATCCGTAACCACGAGCCGAAAGCCCTTGTCTTGTCCGTCAGGAAAAACTGCTTTCAGGTTACGAACTACCGCAGCAGGACCCGACTTCTTGTCCACCGAAGTCGTTTCATCAATGTGTTGCTTCTTGCCTACGTAGACCTCAAACCTGTATTATACAGCACATATAATACAGAATATCATAGATGTAAGATATATTATACAGCGTTTCATCTCCAAACATTGCGGCAAGTACCTGATGCAGTACGCGGAGCGCGCGCAGCACAGCATAAACAACTTTGTGCCCCATTTACACGGTTTATCCTTCATGTACATGCGAGTCTTGTTGAACGACGACCGCGACGGTAGCATTCCTTCATCGAACACAAGCTCAGCAGGAGGTACAAAACCACGACGAAATGTGCGCTGCAGCACATGAACTATCTTCCGAATCTTCCAGGCTCTATCAGTCTTGGCGCGTGGGTCAAGGTTGCTTGAGAAGTGCAGGTTTCGGGAAATCTCCATGAAGCGGTCTCTCGTCATATAGTTAGAGAACTTGCCACGTCCGATAGCGCCTTCATCGTCTCTTTTCCAGTGGTTAGAAATCTTTTCTCGGTTTGGCTGCACGGTCCGAGCGAGAAGTAGCCCCATGAACACACAGAGTTCATGGGGAAGCACAGGCTTGACTGCCATGAGTGACATGCGTACATCTCCTCGCGAACGTAGCGGAGTCTTGTCATCCGGCCTGCGACGCTGCATGTTTCTTCGACGTTCTAAGTATGCTTCAACACGCGCCTCTGTCTGCTCATGTTTGTAGTTGTTGCTGCACACAGCGACATGTTGCCAAAGTGCTACTGGCATGAAGTAGAAGAACAGCGCTAGTAATGAATCACCACACTTCATTGCATCTGGCGTAGATCCGAAAGGCTCCTTCCTCAAGTCCGGGTAGCTGTTTTCTTCTCCGACGGCTTCGTATGGGCGTTGCAAGTACTCGTACACATCAGGAGATTCGGGTTCCGACCATCCAGTTGCGCTGTGCTCCCGCAGATTATTCAGGTCGTCGCCGACGACATTCCCAGCAAGCACCTTGTCTGGCCCTCCCAGTGACGCGAGAAACGTCTCGGTAAAGTGTCGCTCTGCGACAGATTCAACTGAGTTGATATCATCACCACCGGATTCGTCATCGTCACCTTCTTCGTGCTCGACACCGACTTCGTAACCCTCGTCTTGTAGATCATCTACGTCGATAATAGCTTCTTCATCAATCTCGTCTCCAGAGTCAAGGTCACCAAAGTCGCTAGGGTCTTCTCCATCCTCCATTTTGTTGAGATTGTCTTCCACGTCGCTACACATGAGACTATCGGCTATACGACACAATGCATATCACATGTTAGACAGGGTAAGCGTAAGTTGTATATACAGGATACAAAAAGACGCACCATCCTCGTAGTCGGAATCGCCGTTATCGTCGTCGACGATAACAACCTCGCCTTCGTCGATGGCAACTTCATCGTCACTGTCATCTTCGTCCGATGAGCCAAAAAGAGACGTCTTAATAGAAGTATGGACGGTAGGACTTGAGCGAACCACCCTGTCCCGCGGAACCAACTCGTATTCGTCATCCTCGTCTTCTGAACTGAAAATGCCACCTCTATCATCTGCACCACAAGCCATACACCAGTAAGTAAGGCAATCCAAGTAGACACGTTGAGAGTACATACCATTCATAGGACTCGAAGAGGCGCTCAACCGCGGAGGGGAATCACAACGCCCGGCAGCGGTCGATAGAGTCGAAACTTGCGATGTCGCCTGCAATTCCTCGACGCTTGGACCAATTGAAGTTGTTAAATTAGCGACCTCAGTGCTTGACGGCGTAGGAGCTAAACGTACGCAAGAGGAACGGGCACGTTAGACAAACTAAATCATTCAGCATTGCCATGTGGCATACGTCTACCTTTTGCGGATCACGCCGAGCTCAGCGCTTCGGCTGCTGCCATTGAATGAACTAACATAGACCAGTACTAAGTCACTTGTCAGCAATATCAGCAAGGTAAAGGCAGCGTTGTGTACGTACCGGAGGCATAATGAGCGCACACTCGATCTTCACCCAAAAAGTAGTCCTTGCCTTCGATACCGTTTGCTTTTACGCCAGGCGGAATAAACTTCCAAGCTTGCGGGGGGCTTCTTGTGCTTCCACCCGCTCGCCTTCAGCTGGCTCCAGATGTGGCGCCAGGTAGGCGTACCGCCGTCGGCGATGCGCTCGGCCCGACGTTTTTCGCGCGCAGCACACATTGGTCTCCAAATCTGCAAATTCTGAAATAAAGGAAGCTCGACAGCCACCACTTAAAAACCTGCGATATATGTTAGATAATGTGGCGCTTGTGTGTAAGACCTACAACAACTAATTTTCAGAAAAGTTGGACAGAGACTGCACTCTCTTCCCTCGCCTTTTTTTTGCATAACAGACAGAAACTGCGCAGCTCATTGACTTCAGCTTTGTATGGCCTGTAACAGCGGCAGGCGTGAACAAATCGTCCGGTTTACAAAAATCAAGTATAGCGTGGTTCCTGGGCTGTATATATACAACTTAGATTGGAGGATTATCCTTTCCATAGGATTTGCTAACACATCTTATACAGCGCATCGGGTTGAAGGGGTTAATAATACTTCCCTACTTGAGAATTCGATTGTACAGCTACTGGCGCTTGAACGAGATGCAGCATCTGTGCCCAAATTGCACTATCAATAGTGCAATTTTTGCCACCTCACCGTTAATCTTCGTGGATCACGGCTTTGGCAACTCGTATTATCATAAATCCACCACATGGTACTTATAAACCAGCAAATCAAATCTAGTTTTGCCAAAAATCGCTGCAAAGCACAATACTTGTATCGACATGTTTCAGAATTATTGTGCATTGCAAATGGAATGTCCCTCTGTTTTGTAGCCTTGATCGAGCGTGAACGGATTATAAAACCAGGCAAAAAAATGAGATGGCATCGATTTGTTCTATCTGTGATCAAATTACCTTTTCACAACGGCTTAAGAGTCGCCTTACAGGATATAGATGTGAATTTGATGGTTTAGCGGTAGATTTGGCTGCCGTTTATGTATTAGTAACGCTAGATCGATTTGTTCTTTATCGACCTCGTTTTTATAAAACTAATTATAAATCGAGCATCAGGTCAAGTGAAAAGGACAAAAGCATTGAGATGCACTATAGGGCTAATAAGCTACAACAGCTTTAATACCCAGCTACGGAGCTTTGGTCGCTCAGGCCCTGGTTCAGGTGGTGGAACGGATGCTGTGAGTAATTGGGTTAGGGAAAGTTTGGAGACGTCTGCACTCGTCCTGACGATCGGTTCTATCCGTTCTACATCTTGTTTAAGTAAGGCTTAAGCTTGTCTCTCTCTCTCTCTACCAACCAATCTTTCAGTGTAGAGCTGAAAATTGCTCACTTGGCATTTTGATGGAAGACCAGAACACCGGCGCGCACAGCACTAAGGGGACTTCGGAGCCCTCGGCCGCGCGGTCAGGCACGCCACCCAAAAAGGTGAGAGCGGCCAAGCGTCTCAAGTGGTCAAACGAGATGGTCGCAGAGCTCGTGCGTCTGCGCTTCGCAGACGGAGACGTAAAACGCCGACTTGAAGCGGCTCAGACCAAAACCGAGACTGCTCTAGCTTGGCAATACTTTGCAAGTGTGCTGTCGCAGTCTTTGGGAGTCGTCATCAACAGAGATCAGGTGATGCATCGCCATAACGTCTAATAGCTGGTGAGATTGGTTTCAATTCGCTTAATTTGTACAGGTTTCACAAAAGTATCGGAAGTTCAAATGCATCTATCGCAAGGAGAAGAGAGAAGAAGGAAAGACCGGCAACTGTGCTCGTTCTCTGCGTGAAATTGACGACGGTCTGTGGAGTATTTTGCACGACGCCTTCTCTGGCAAGGTCGGCATAAGTGGTGAGGTGCTGCTGGACTCCCATCTCGATGGCGGGGAGAGCGACAGCTCTGTGGTGGACCACGATTCCGGTGATGCAGACAGACCTCCTGCAGACGCGCCTGGAAAAGGAAAGTTGTCTCCAATTGAGAGTCTAGCTACATCAATGCGGAGCGGCATGGAAGCAATTGCAGCTTCGCTTTCAGCACGCACGTCGCCAGACGATGGATTGGGAAGCCTAGCCGCAACACTAGAACGGCACCACGAGGAAACTCGACGTTTTCAAGCTATTCAATTGCAGCTATTGCAACAACTTTTAGCGCGTAAAAACGCATAATACCGATCAACCATCCTGCTAATCCGAGTAAAATTGTTGGGTTAATCTACGACATGAATATGTCTGCTAGATCGTCTCTTTTAGTTTTTCCAAGTCTGTGCGAAAATGACTGCTCTGCAACAGAAAGACCTCCATCGTCGTCTCGAACTTGTAATTCTGCACGGTGCGGATCCTCGCCATTTACTGCACAGCTGTCGTTCACAGCCAATAGCATGTTGTGCAGAACGATGCAGCTATATATCACTTTGCAAATGCGACCGGGTGTCTTCTGTTCTAGCTTGGCTAACAGAATCCTGAAGCGATTCTTGAGGCGGCCAAAGGCGCATTCTACTGCAATCCGAGTGCGGGAATGAACGCGACTGTAGATACGCTTCCGACGTTCATCAGCGGCTTCAGATTCAGGGTAAGGAGTTAGCATGTGCCCCCATATCTTGTAGCCAGCATCGGCCAGCAAGTGCTTTCCTGGCGGGACAAATGTGGACAAGCTACCACAGTACGAGAGCGTCAGTATATCATACACAGAGTAAATAGTACCAAAATGACGCACCACTTTCTAACACCCGACCCATTCCATAATGACTGGTCATTGTTGGAGCCCGAACGAATGGAGATTGAGCGGAATGCTCCGGTATGATCAACAACCGCTTGGACGTTGACAGCAGGAAATCCTTTGCGGCAATACCAGCCCTCAAAATCATGAGGGCGTGGTATAGCAATCAACGTTCCATCCACCGCTCCAACCACACCTGGGAACCCCGCAACCGCGAAAAAGCCGGCTTCTAGAGAGGCTACTTCGCTAGCTTTAGGTAGAATCACCTTCGTAGCCGCCATGGAGCTGAGTACATCTAAACAGTCATTGATGTAAACCACGGAACGTGGGCGCGAAATTCCCAGCACCGTGGCGGCCTCGTCCATGGTTCCTCCCTGCGCTAGGTAAAGTATTGTTAGAGCAAATCGCTTAACCAGAGGGCACTTACTGTTGGCTGCTGGCTTGCGTTTACACGCGGCGTGGAATTCGCGGTACAGCAGTAAAAAAGATTGACGATCACACCGTAGTTTCTTACGAAACCAATTCGTGCTAGGAGCCGCCATTGCATCCTCAAACGTAGTAGTAGGGAAGGTGGAGACACCAGTAGGTGGACGCCTGCAACAACGCTTGTCAAACGTAGCAGCAGCTAGAGATGCTGTGCAAGCACCGAGTAGCACTACGACTACAGCGACGGCTTCGGGGTCCATTTGAAAGGGTGACTTGCGTGAAATGAATGGTATATAAAAGCAAGGCCGCTCTAGCACAATTGTGCTCCACCCAGAACACCTCTGTTCGTTAGGTCTGATCTGCTGCGTGCCAGAACGCAACAGACCCAAATTGGTACACAGTACCCCTGCATTTTTGACCAATAGAAGAAGTATTGGTTTTCAGTACAGAATGCATGCTTGTACCTGAACAAGGGCCTCAGTGCCGAATACATCCAAGACACGCAGCGGTCGATAACTTATCTCCCGCGCCGGTAGTGTGCCTGTAAGACACTATGACCTATTTATTAGTTTGCGTCTCTGATTCGTTTTCGCTCCTTTCGAGCGAGCTTCCTGCGCTCGCGTCCTCCTGCCCGCCACTACCGAGCCGACCCTACCAGAGTCCGTGACCGACGCTGTTACCTAGCCACTTGGACGTACGCCTTGGGCGTCTAGCTGCTTAACGCAGCTTCTGGTCAGCTTGCACGTACAATGACGTGCTGTGCCACTCGGTCACTTCGTCGTCTCGTCAGCCGCGTACACGCCGTCCACGCTCGCCGTCTGTTCGTCCTTTTCGCTCAAATCTCCAATACGCACACTGGTGCTTGTGTGCCCTGCATCAATTCGCACCCTACACACCTCGTGCGCCTTCGAGTGTCCTCTGGCCTCGTTGTCGCTGTCACGGGACCGACCAACGGGTCCACAACAGCTGTGTGTTGCTTGACTCGTTCGAGTCCTTTTTTTAAGTCGTCTTATTTCTCACTGCCGATGTGGAGCTCGTACTCTTTACGCTGCAAATGCGGAACTGAGAGCT